TATATNTATATTATTATATATATATATATATATATATATATGAATATATATATATATATATATATATATATATTTTTAATATAAATAAATATATTATTAATTATATGCAATCATTTACTATTTATAATATTTAACAAGTTATCTTTATCACCTTAATTTTAACCATTTTCATGTATTTAATAATTTATAATATTTTCTAAGCAAATATGTAAAGTAGTTAGATAATATCCACTGCTTGAATTTAACAAATTATCAGTTATAAAATATTCAATTAATTTCATATGAGTAAATAAATTAAAAGCTTTACCTTATACGCAAATGTAACTAAAAATAGAAATTAAATCATCTGCATCTAAAGTATAATTATTAATTGCATCAATTTTATTTTTCATATAATAATTATTAATACACATAACTATATTTTCATTAGATTTTATTATTAATTTAAGTTTTCCTAAAGGATCATTACACTAATCTATACTTTAAATATACTAAATACATTCTTAATAGCTTTAAAATTAATTAAATCTTTATTATTATTGCTAATCTACTAATGATATCGTTTATTCATTTTATTCAGATTAATTTGCTTTTACTTCTTTATTATTTTAAAAATTTTAATCACTAAAAAATTTACAATTATTTTAAATATTCATTTCATATTCTATCTTAAGATCTTTATATTAAATTATTTATTAATAATCATCGTAACTTCCATTAGTATTTTCTTTAACAATTTATTCTTTTGTACTGTTTCTTATTTTTTTAACTATAATATTATTATTGATACTATTTTATTTATAATGATACAAAGTTCTTTCATTTAAACTAATTTATCTTAAATTTGAAATTCTTAAGGAGATATATCTATTAATTAATTTATTGCAAATTTAAGTTTTTCTTCTTACTATATATTTTCTGTTTATAATAATTAAAAAAGTATATCGTACATTTATTTATTTGTGAATATAATAGATGTAATAAAATTTATCATATTTTCGTTTGTATAAAATTAATTAATTTTATTATTTTTTAAATTATAATATAGCATTACAGATTCTTAAGTAACTCTTTATTTATTTATTTTATTTGAATATTTTTATATATAATCATGTAATTAATTACCTTATAAATTATTATAAATCTTAAATAGCAGAATCTATAATTTCTTTTTTGTTTATTTATGAATTTTTGCTTTTCTATTAATATTATATTTAATATAAGCTTTATTAGTATTTTTAGATGAAGAAAGTATAAAAATTTTATATTAAATATGCAAAAATATTATTTTCATCTTTTAAATGCTGTGCTATAATTTTATTTTATTTTACATATTATTTTAATTATTTATATTAATGTTTATTTTTTGTTTGTGAATTTTTTTAATAATAAAAGGTAGGATAAGCATATGAAGATATTGAATTTATTGAATATTAATTTGTTTAATTAGATTAGTTTCCATTATTTAAACAATCGTTATGAAATTAAATTTAATGTAAATTTTCTTCTATAATTAATGTTTAATCTAATAAATTTTTATATTTTTATATTATCTCAGAATTCTATATACTCTTATTTATACTTTAATAACTTTTTTTTGAGAAAGATTATCATTTAATTCTATTTTTTTTATTCCAAATTAAAATAAAATTCAAAAATAATAAAAATAATATTATAGTATACGTAAATATTAAATAAATAAATATAATATTTTATTTATATATTTTAAAGACCATATTATTTATATATAATATATTTTTAAATTTAAAAGATACTATATATTTTTTATGTTGCTTCAATAAATTATAATTAATATATTTTATCTGAATTTCCAATAAATACTTTTAATTTGTTTAATATTTATTAAGCCCAATCGCAATCATTAATTAAATTTTTTAATTCTTTTTTCAAATACTTTAAATAATTCTTCAATAAAAAAAAAAATAATATAAAAAATTAATAAATAATTTAATTGCTTATTATTACTAAAAAATTTAAATACGTTATTATATTAAGGAGAACACATACTATTACATAAACTTAATACACCATTATATTAGTTTTAATTCAAAGATATTTAATTTCCCATTTTTATAAAAGACTTTATATTTAGATAAAAAAATGTTTTTTTGATGATGTATTATTTTTAAAAAATTATATAATTATTTTAATTAAATAAAAAGAAAATTATCTATGCAAATATGTATAAATATAAAAATATCTATTATTTTGAAAAAGTATATACAAATAAACATAAAAATCTTTAATTAAATAGTAATATTTTAATTTTATATTACATATATAAATTATAATTTTGATTATTTTACAATAATATATATTATAAATATTATAAAAAAGCATTTAAAATACTTAAAAATAAATAAGTATAATATAGTTATATATATTTATAATAATATCATATATTTCTACTATTAATTTATAGTATTTTTTTTTTTTAAAAAAAAATATTTATTTAAATTATATTATTATATGAAACATCAAAAAAATTTTAACACTTTAATTTATATAGAAACATATATAATATGTTAAATTAATTTTTTATTTTGAAAAGTGACATAATAATAATTTTCGTAGATTTTCAATGAATTATATTGATTTTTTAATTATAGTTTGTATTATATAGTTTAGATTTTTTATTTAATTTTGATAATCTAAATATTTTGACGTTATATACATAATAAATAAATATATATTTTTATATAATTATAATATTTCTATTATCAAAATTTTTTATTAATATTTAATAATGTATTTATTTATGTTTTGTTATTACAAAATAATAAGATTAAATTTATGTAAATTAAAAATAAATATTTTTGTTCATATTATTTATAAACTCAATTAAATTTAAAAGGCATCCTCTGATTTTTTTTCAAATTAATTATAAATAAATAATAAAAAAAAAAATGAAAAATATATAATTTTGTTTTAATATTAATTCATATTTTTTAATTTTTAATTTTAAAATATAGATCTATATCTATAACTATAATTGTATTTATATTTATTTAATTTTATTCATTGTTTATAATTTATATATTATTTAATATATCATAAGCAATTATTATTTTAATTATATTCTAATTTTAATATTTTTTTATTACTTATAATTTATAAATTTTTTTCCTAATTTAATATGGATAATATTGATTATTAATTTAAATTAAAAAAATATCATATAGATTTATAATTTAAATAAATAAATATATCAAATATTTAAATTTTTTAATTAATTTTAATTAAATTATTATTAATATTTTGAAATTATTAATTCGAATAATTTTAAATATTAAAATATAGTCTTAATTATAATTTTTTACTGAGAGATATTATGGGTAGAATATTTTTAACTTTATATTTATTATTTTTTAAAAAAACTATTTCAAACTTATTTTAACAATAAAAAATAAAGTTTAATTGGAACTTTAATTTTTTAATAATAATATATTTATTTATACATTTTATAAATATTTAAGATATTTTTAATTTATTTTTACTGAAACTTGATATTTTTAAAAATATAATTTTATATAAAAATTGAATAATCAAAATTTAAATTATAAATGAAATTTCAATATATTTATTTTGAATGAAATCTATTTATTTCTATTCGATTAAATTAATATAACTAACTTTTATATATTTTTATTTTAGAATTAACAGTATATATAATTTAAACAGATATTTAAAAAGAAATATTAAGATGAATTAATTAATTATAATAAAATATTTATATTAAAATAAAAAAATATTAATATAAAATAATATATTACTTTTTTATATAAAATATAAATAAATGTTTAATTTTAAAATTAAATTAATAAAAAAACATATATATAAAATAAAAATAAAATTAAAAAAAAAAAAATTAATGAACTAAGATACTAAAGGTTCTTTAGCAACACCTCTATAAAAATATAAATTAGTGTTCTTAGGAGATTAAGCTGTAGGAAAGACATCAATAATTAATAGATTTATGTTTGATACATTTGATGGTAAAGATCATGTAAAACCAACAATTAAAAAGAAAATAAAAATAAAAATATTTTTACAATATAAAAAAAAAGCCAACAGTAGGTATTGATTTTATTTCAAAAACACTTTATTATGAAGATAGAACAATAAGATTATAATTATGGGATACTGCAGGTTAAGAAAGATTTAGAAGTCTTATACCTTCTTATATAAGAGATAGTGCAGTTGCTGTCGTGTGCTATGATGTTACTAGTACTTAAAAATCTACATATATTTTACTAAAATTTTATAAATAAAATAATAAAATAAAAAAAAAATTATATATAAAAATTTATATATATATTATTTTATATATTAATATCTATATATATATTTATTTATATATATATTATTTATATATATATTTTATATATTAATTTATATATTTTTATATATCTTTTTTAATATAAATAGATCGATAATCTTTTGATAATGTTACAAAATGGATTGAAGATGTTCGTAACGAAAGAAGATAAGAAGTAATTATATGTTTAGTTGGTAATAAAACCGATATGTAAGATAAGAGGTAATTTTCTATATATTTTAAATAATAAAAATATTTTTAAATAAAAGACAAATTTAATATGCTGATGGATTATAAAAATCAAAAGAATTAGATGTTAAATATTTTGAAGTTAGTGCTTTATCAGGTGAGAATATTCCATAACTTTTTAAAGAAATAGCATGTATGTTACCTGGTGCTGAAATATCTTAAGTTGTTTAAAACTAATAATCTGGATAATAGAACTAAAACAATAATTGTAAATAAATATTTAGAATTTTTTTTTTTTATATATATTTAATTAAAAATATTAATTTAGAAAATTAGAATATTATTCAGAATTAAAACATATAATTAGATAATTAAAAACACATATAATAAGAAGAATAAAATTAAAAAAAAAAAAAATGTTGCTGAATATATTATATATAAATTATATATTAAGAATTTGATTCTTTAGTGTTCAAAAAAAATAATAATTGTAAATGTTTTATTTTCTTATTTCAACAAGAACAATTAAATTTTCTATATTTTATTTTATAAAAAAGAACTAGCATTAAATTTTCAATAAAAATCAATTATAAAGAATAATAATTATATATATATGTATTTAATATATATAAAATAGCTATGTAATTATAAAAACTTTATTTTCAAAATTCACTTTAAGTTATTTTTGCAATTTTAAGAATTAACCCATCAACATGGAGTTTCATATTTAACACACAACCCTACAAATCTTAAACTAACGAATTTTATTTTTTAACAGACTATTAAATATTCGTAGAAGTTTACTTTTCAATTACATTATATTTTTATTAACACATATTTTCATTAAAATGTATACAATTATGTTTATGTCTGGGCACAACTAAAAAAGTTTCCCATCCTAAGTATCCAAAAACGACATTTTAGTCCCATAGAAATACTTCTTACACAACTCACAAGGGAAATCTTCTAGTTAATACTATCCGACCAAAAATTCATTCGAATCAACCATTTTCAGAACCGAACTATTTGCCAAAATTGCCACAAAATAATTATTTTTAACACCCGTATTTTCTATAAGTAATAAATCATTAACTTTACTTTCACATTTGCATAGAGTTTTAATTAATTTCCCCTTTTCAATATCCCATAATTTAATGTGATTTTCTCACTAGTTACAATATAAGTCGGATTAGTTTTTAAAGGCAAAAAAGTATTCACATCATTTGCTGTACTTAATCTATTTACCAAAACACATCCTACAAGTACATTTTTTTATTATATGTCACATATTTAATTCAATTATTCACTATTCTTTGTATTCAAACTATTATTTTCATCCTTAAAAACTTTCTCGTATTATAATTTCCAAATCAAAATTCCTCCTTATTCGTAATCTGTTTTATGGGATGATACAAAGGTCTCGTATTGTTTTATTAAAGCAAGCCTATTTACTATTAAGCCTTTTGTTTCTAATTTAAATGTCATTTTCTCGTCTATATAATCCCATATATATATATGTCCATCCCAATCTCCACAAACTAAGTTATTTTCATCTTCTAAATCTAATAGAGAAAGTCCTCTAAAAAAACCTTCTACCCTAAATTCTACTATAGGATATATTTTTTCATCTCGAACGAAATTTGTATCCCAAATTTTTACTGAATTCTCACTTCCACCTAACTTTTTTATATTTATTTTTTTAATTTTTTTTTTTTTTAAAAAAAATGTTACTAATTTAAATCCAAAATCACTCATTTTAGCTTATTTATTTTCCAATATTTACTACCCAATAGATTTAAATAACTAAGGGGGAGGGCCCTATTAGGGATTTCTATGAACTTTAAGAATTGCCAGTGTATAAATCCAATTTTTACATTCCATTTCTTATAAAAGTTCATTATTTTCTAAACAATAAATTTGAATATAATTATTAGATAATGCCAAAGCAATAATATCTTCTGCAATTACAGCAATCGAAGTCACACAAACATTATCAATAATAGCAAGAGATTTTTTAACATCACTTTTTTCTATGAAAAAGTTTTTTTAGTATTTTTTTATCATACAATTCTTTCTTTCTAATGAAAATTATATTTGTGATCTATTTACACCTTTTTTTTTAAAAAAAAAAAGAAGAAAATAAATATTTATGAATAATCAATCACAATTATTATTATTTTTTTTAAAAAAAATACCTTGTTAACATTAATTATTTAAAATACTAGGAAGAATTATTGTTTATTTTTTATTATAATTATTTGTTGTATAACTACTTATATTTTCATTATTAGGTGATTCATATTCTTATTTTATAATTTTAACTCTAGAATTACCCAATAAATTAAGATTAGATTCTCTCGAACTACTAAAGTTCATTATTGAATTTCTATTAGTATTTAAAGCTGCCTATTCAGAATAAGTTTCTTATTCGACACAATTATTTTAAGATTTCATTAATTAAAATTAAGGAAGATTTTCCTCGTGAGCGTTCTGTTCTTCAACGATAAATTTTTAAAGAGGTACATTAATAATATTAGACTAAAGACTATCTACAATTTTATTACTCAATAATTCCACTTATAACTTAATACTAATAAAGGAAAAGTCTCTGAAATTCCCAGATTAATAAGTAGGAGGATTTATAGTCTAATTAACCAAAAGTAAATACAAATCTTAAATTTGGTTAATATTTTATTCAGTGGAATAATCCCCTTGAGTATATTAAAGTAGAACTTACTTAATTTCTTAGAAAAACTCAGCGGCTTAATCCATTGATTGATTATTTATTTTTTTTATAATATTTTTATAATCGGAATATTCTCTTAGCATTTTATATGTATATCCACTCTATTATTCAAGAAGTTTCCTTAAATATTAATAATTACTTTTATAATTTTTTATTTATTCATCCATTTTTCTCGATAATTCAGTTTTTATAGACTGCATATATTTCTAAAATGAATCTGTTATCATATCAATGTCTATCTTTAGCTTTTATTTTTATTATTGGATAAACTCTTCGGAATCTTATATGTTCTTACCTTCTTTTTAGGTTAGTTATTCGAAATACTCCTTATATATTTCTTAGGAATTCTCAGGACATATCACTAAAAAACGTTAAGCTATTTATTGTATTCCTATTTCTATTGGATAAATGTATTTTTTGCATTTTTATATATGTTCTGTTTCTTCAAATACACATTCAACGCAAAATAATTAAGTAGCTTTTTGGCATTTCTCGTTATTGCAAATTTTTACAATTAATTGGTTTTTATGTTTCATACAAAATATTCGCAAATCATCGTTTTCTTCAAATTAACCAATTATGTGATTTGATAATTTTATTCGATCTTCATTTAATTTACTTTAGAGTTCTTTTGCGCTTGACATTTTATACTTTTTTTTTATAAACTATATTATAATTTCAATTTTGTTAAATATGAATTTTATATATGAAAATATTATATAAAATACATATATTTTTATTTGGTGTAAAAACAATATTTTTATTTAGATTTTTTTTGTTAGAAATATATAAAAATTTATTAAATATATTATTATTAAGAATTAAATATATTATTTATTTAATGTAATATTATTAATTTTTTTACTTATATATAATATTGAAGGCAAACATAATAGATTATAATTATGAATGAGCATAAGTTTTATTATTAAATAACTAATTAATAAATTGTTATAAAAATAAAATAAAATTTATAATTGTTTAATTAATTCAATAATTTTTAAATTAAACTATATAAAGTAATTGCTAGTCATTATACCCCTTTAAATAATAATTTTAACTGTAAAATATTAAAAATAAAATGATTTCTAAAACCATGTTTTTCTTAAAAATTTTACTCTACAATATTCATAATTTCAACCAGAATAAAAATAAATTGCAAATTAATGTTTTTAAAATGAATAATAATTCAGAATTTTTTCAATTTTTAAAAATAAAATATGTAAGAAATTTAAGATAAATCAATTTATTATTTAATAAAAATCTTTCAAACAAAAATAAATATTAATAATTAATCTTGAAAAGAGTTTTATTTAATAAATATATAATAAATCAAAATAATTTTTTTAAAAGAATATTATTTAATTGTATCTTATCTTTTTTATGAAGATAAAAAATTAAAAATTATAAATCGAATGAATTTTATTTATCATATAAAATAAATTAATTCTGTAAGGAGGACTTAAATATATGATTTTATTTAAGAATTAATACCAAAAATATATCTAAAGCATTAACACATAATTTGACATAAAATAGGATATTTAAATACATAAAAAATAAAGAAACATAAATCGAAACTTAAAATAATTATTATTAAATATATGTAAAAGATAAAGAATTAAAAGTATATTCTTTTTAGATTTTAAAATAATAAATTCCAAAATAAAAAGAATGAAAACTAAAGAAAGAATTATTAAAAATATTATAAAAATTGATTGAAGAAATTATTGCTTATAAAAAAATTATAAATTTCTAAAATATCTTCGTTAAAGTTATTTAAAATGTAAACATAGAAAATAAACAAAACAAAAAAATTTAAAAAATTGTTTCATAAAAAAAGAAAACTTTTTTAAAAAACTAACTTTAAATAGAAAAATTTTTCTAAAAATAAAATACTCTTAATATATGATCAATTGAATATCTCTTGTAGTTTTAAAAATAACTTACTTTTTAAATATTTGTATTTAATGACAATCAATATTAACAAAAAATATTTTATTTTAGTAACAAAGAGAATATAGTAATAAATAACTTATTACTATAAACAAGTTTTGATTAATATTAGTAAAAGATTCTTTAAACTTTAAAAAAATATGGAATTATTTAAATAAAAAGTAACAAACTATGCAATATATATGAAAAAAATTAGGCTTGATAAAAGCCTAATGCTATATAATATCATTATTTATTTTAAATATTTATATAATATTATAATTTCTATTTATATCTTAACTTTATTAAAAATTTATAAGAATTAATATCTTTTATTATCTTAAATATACATATAAATGTATATATAATTATATTAAAATATATTATTAGTAAAAAATATGTAATATAAATGCATAATAATTTATTTTTATATTAAAAAATCAAATATACTTTCATATTACATAATATATATTATCTCTTAATTTATTTTATGTTTTTCCTTTTTAAAGATTTTTTAATCTTTATTATTCTAATTCTTCTTATGTAAATTTTTTTCCTTGATATTCACTCAAATCACTTATTCCTAAAAGCATACATGTTCTTAATTCTAATTCGACTGGATTCTTTTTTTAAAATAAATAAATATTGCATATTTCCTTTTTTATTTTTACGGCTTTATCATTAAATTCATAATAATTAATATCCTTCCATTCACCAATTCCTTTAGATTAATTATAAAGATAAAAAACAAGATTCAAATTTAATAATTTACCAAATATTTCAATTCCTCTTATTAATTATTATTAATTTTTTGAAGACCAATATAAGCCATGTTTTTAAAGAAAATATTTATGGTTTAAACTGCCGTCTTCTTATCTTATTTCAGGATTTGACAAATCTTTTCTCATATTTTTAGAGTATTCATCAAAGTTAATTTCTTAAAATTCCTTTTAATTGTTTTTTTTCATTTTTTTTTTTTTTTTTTCTTAAATATAATTTTTTTTATTGGAAATAAAATTTATTTTTATTATTATTTTAATTTAAATCTTTTAAACTTAAATACAATGAAAATATATTTTTTTATAAATTAAATATTTATTTTATATAAAATACGCCAAAAGTATTTGCGCGCGCTATATTTTTAATAATATTAAAAAAAAAAAAATATATATTTTAATAAAAATCTTTTAACCTTATTAACAAAATATAATATATAATAAATGTGTATTAATATCTAAAAATAAAAATCATAAATTAAATTAAAAAAATATATGCTTATAATAATTTTATTTTTATTTTTTAAATATAGAAAAATTCACATAAATAAAAAAATAATAATTTTATATTTATGTTTTTTTTATCCAAGTATTTTTTATAAATATTATTTAAATATAAATTAAGGTAATATCGAAACCCTTGTTATACTTATATTTAATTTAAATTAAAATCATGTATCATATCATAAATGATTATAAATTGTGAAAAGTGACATTATATCAATTTTCACAGCCTTTTTTAGTGTTGTATACTTATTTTTTATAATATAAAGTAATATTATATAATTAATTTAATTTTTTTGATGTAAATATTTTTTGACACTACACGTATTTCATATTACAGTATAATTTTATTTATTAATTTTATATATATTAATTTTATTTCACTTTTTTATTAATATAAAATATATTCAATTTATTTTAAATATATATCAATAAAAATATTTTATATTGAAATTGTCAAATATTCTATTAGTTATTAATAATCATTATTTTTTATATAATCAATAATTTTTTAAAAAAAATCATAAATACTTATAACATAACTTATAAAATAAAATAGATAAAATACAATCAGACTTTTTTTTTCTATTTTTATTATTTAAATATTCTTAAAAAAATAATTGTAAATAGTCCTTTTTATAAAAATAATTTTGACGAATCAATAAATAATGAATTTTAATAAAAATAGTATAGTAAATAAAAAAAAAGGAGAATATAATTTTTTATTTAAAATAATATTATATATTTAACTTATAATAAAAAATTATTATTATAATTCGTATTTATTTATTATTTCAAGTGTTAATTTAGATAAATATGAGCAAAGTAAAGTAGTATTTAATATTTATAATTAAAAAATTTATAAGATAAAAGTAAAAAAACTAAAATTATTAATTTTCTAATTTAAAAAAATATAATAAATTTACAAATATATTATTGTAAATTCGTTATTTCATATTAAATTTTCTATTTTATTTATTTTTAATATTCTTATATATAAACAATTAAAGTTAAAGAAATTAATAATCATAAAAAGACATACATAAAATATAAAAAAGTAAAGATGAGAAAACAAACAGTAAGAGAGTCATAATTTTCCAAATAATAGAGAAAAATATTAACTTTGAAATCAATGTCTGAATCACATGATGATATATTTATAGATATGGAAAACAGAATAAACGAATGGTTAGACCAAAATAATATAATAATGGCAAATCCAAGTGATATAAGTGATGATTACTTTGATAATTAAAGAAACATATAAATTAATTTAATTGAATTATCTAATGACTCCTACGATAATTTTTCTTAAGATCAATATTGTAGAAGTCGAGATTAAAATAACTCTGGCTTAAATACACCTAAAAAATAACTCACCCTTGGATCAAATAAAAAAATTTAGTTTAGAAAAATGTTTAGTTTATAAATTAATTAATAAAATTTTGAAGAGGAAAAACTACAATAAATAAATTTTTGAAAACAATATAGATAATAAAATTAATAAATATATGCATACAAAATACAAAGGTTTATATTCTAATAATAACTTATTTATTTATATATTTTTTTTAATTAAATAGTTTTAATTATTTCATATTTAATTTTGAATATTATAAATAAAGGTTTTTAACTATTTATATTAAAAATCTAAATTATATTTTTTATTTAAGTGATTATTTAATTTAATAATAAAAAAATTAATTCACCTTTAATTGAATTAATAATTTAATATTATTATTATTTAATTAAAGGATATTTTTAAATTTTATTTTTATATATTTTAAAATTAAATACTAATTTTGAAAAAATATTGATTTATTTATTTGCTTTATTTATATTTTGTTTTTAATCAAAATAAATAAATCAATATCATATATTTTTTTAATTTAGAAATACAAAATAATAAAGCATATTAATAATATAAAATTATATATAAAAAATAATAGAATAAAAACTATTAATAATTTTTTATTGTTAATTCATAAATATATTAAACAAAATTGAACATTAAAAGTTTTATTAATATTTCTTTTTATTGTTTAATAAAAAAACTTATAAGTAATTTTTCCATTTTCATTTAATTTTGTTTGAAAAAGGAGAAACTTTTTATGTAATTAAAAAATCATTTGCATATTTTGTTTCTTTGCAATTTTTTTTTAAATGTTTGAATTTATTTTGATTTTTTTAGTTATTCGCTTCCTTTTAATAAGATGAAAATAATTATATTATATATTATTAAATATTTATTTTTTTCTAAAAAATATTATAAATTACTTAATTAAACCATCCGATTTCCTGATTTCCTGTTTGTGCATATTTATACTTTTATAATGGTGTTTAATTAACTTCCTATATTTTTTTAATCATTTTTTCTAATTAAATATTAAAAATGTATAGTAATAAATTTTAATATACCACTAAGATCAACAGGTTTTTAAATATCTATTAAGTCTGATAACCTATTAAAGTCTATAAAAGGATTCTTTTTTTAAGTTTCTTTCATTTTTTATTTAATAAAGTAATTATTATTAGGTTTTTCACAATATAAAAAAACTATTTGAATAAAATTATATAAAGTTAAATATAATTATTATTTTTAACTATTTTTAGGATTAAAATTATAGTTAGCATATATCTGCTATGTAGCTTTTTCTTTTGTAATCAATTAATTTAATATTCTCATATCCTATTTAATTTATATAGAATATTTTAGTTTTTATTACCGTAACGGGATTTTTATCATTATAATTATTTTATGATTTATGAGCCATTAATAATTTATTAATAAAATAAATATTTTTAATAATATTCATATAATATAAAAAAAACATATTACATTAATTAAAAATCGAATTGAAATTTTTAATACACACTTTAATACTATATAAAGATTTAAATATAAGAAAGAATTATATATTGATATATTATCATAATAAGTTATTTTAATATAAACTTATCTAATAGAACTATATGTTTTTACTTTTTATTTAATAAATAAAAATTGTTTTTAATGAAATTTTAATTACTTTCTTAAAAATATATATTTTATAAAATATATATTAATATATAATTTTTTAAATCAATGTACTTTTTATAATTTTTTTAACTTTTTATTTTTAAATACTTTTATATCAAAATCTACATATATATTTTATTTTATTTTTTTTAAAAAAAAACTTACTAAAATATAATATAAGAAAATGGGAAATTTTTTTTAAATTGACTTTAAAGCTGAATTAGACGCAATGAGAAAATATACAGGCTTTTCAGCAGGCTAAATAGAAATTATAAGGTTTAAATAAAAAATATAAAGATAAAATATAAATAATAAAAAAAGAGATAAGCTTGATTTAATGGCTGACGAAGATTTATTAATGTCTAAAAAGAGTTTTGGGACATTAATGAAAATACCAGATTTAGAATTAGAAAGAGTAAATAAATAAATAGAAATTATGCAAATAAAAAATAATATTAATTTAAGTTATTTGAATTTTTCGATTAAGAATAATCCGGAAAAATAGACACTTTTGAATTTTTATGTTGTTTGACATTATTATCATAATCTTCATTAAAAGTATAAATAAAATAGAAATTAAAAAAATTAAAAAAATAAAAAAGACTAAATGTTAATTATTATTTGATTAATACGATTTTGATAAAAATAAATAAATAACATTAAACGAATTTACCGTTTTAATAAAAACCATATTAACATCTTTAAATATAATGGTTGGTCGACGTGAATTAAAAATTGAAGAAGCAGTAAAAATAGCAGAACATATACACAAAAAATATTATGAAAATTAAGAATAAAACATAAGTTTATCTGAATTTTAATCAATTGTCTCAAAAGATGAAGACATAATAAAATTATTATTTAATTGCGGGCTTATATCAAAAGAAGATTTACGTTTAGATTTTGGAGGAAGTAAAGGAATTCCTGATGCTGATTCTGATTTGGAAATCGAAATAAACAAATATTAATAAGTATAGGACGATACATATGAAAAAATAAAATAAGGAATTGAAAAAAACTAAGAATCGTTTTAAGAGATTTAAATGAAAAAGCCTTTGAAATAAAATGAAGAAGATAATAATAATAAAAAACAATGGTAAATAACAATAGAAAAACTTGATTAATTATAAAATGAAACTAAAAAAGGTTTTTATTTATACTAAAATAATATATATATATATAATATAATATATATATATATAAATTAATATATTTATTTTTAAATATTTATATATTTATATTTATATATATAAATTTTTATGTATATATATTATAGATTCTGTTTAAATTTCAGCATATTTGACAAATTAAATACCGAATACTTAATTATAATTAGATTATGTATATGGATTTAACTCAAGTCAAACAAGAAATAACATAAAAATAAACACAAAAGGAGAAATTATATATAATTCTGCTTCCATTATAATAATATTAGATTAATCTGGCAAACAAAGATTTTATACATAACATTAAGGATAAATATCATCAATAGATATATCTAAAGATATATTAGTAACAGGAGATTTGTTTAGAAATCCAATACTGAGTGTTTGGGATTCTATTTCAATGGAAACTATTGTTAATTTTTAAGGAATTTTAAAAAATGGAATTATATGTGTTGCGATTTCGAATGATCAAACAAAAGTCGCAGGAATTTCATATGGAAATATTAACCATGTTTTAGCAATTTATGATATTTAAGAGGAAATAAAAATTTGGAAAAACAAAGAAAAAAGGAATTTTTTATAAAAAGAGTCATTAATTACAGCCGAAAAAATTGATTTTTCTTTTGTTTTTGATATGAAATTTACAAAAAATGATAAAATGCTAGTTGTTTCTTGTCAAAACGAAATCATCTTTATTGATATTAATAATGGATAAATAGTATAAAATAGAGGAGTTTGGACTTAAGATAGTTCTCCTTAATCCTGTTTGTCAATTGCTGTAACTAAAAATGTTGCTGTTACAGGAATGTTTAAAGGAAATCTTTATGTTTGGAAATAAAATAAGTTAATTTTTGATGCTTTTAAACATAAAGGACCTGTCACAGCTGTTTTTAGTAGATAATAAATATGTATTTTAATTATTTATAATTTTTTTTAATATTTTTTATATTTTATTATTTTTTTAGCTGAAGATAAATAAGATGGAATTATATCAGCTGGTAGAGATAATTTTATTTTAATTTGGAATTGGAATGAAAAGGATCAATTTTTGGAATTAATTACCTAAATTTCTATAAATGAATATGAACTCTATTCAAAAAGAGTATATTTTTTTTTATATTTTTTTTTAAAAAAAAAATCTAGATAGTATCAATAACTGAAGATTATTGTCAAAAAACAATAACTATAGGCACCCGAGCATCAGAAATAATTTAAATATTAGACATAAACCAAAATAAATATAAGCATATAATGCATGGTCATTTCTAAGGAGAATTATGGGGTTTAGCAACTCATCCAAGGTAATAAATATTCTTTACTGTAGGAGAGGACAACATCTTAGCTTGTTGGGATTTGAAAAAAAAATGCTTAATAAACAGTACAAAACTAGACTATCCTGCTAGATGTATAGACTACACCCAAAACTAGAAATATTTAGCAATAGGATGTTTAAACGGAAACATACTAATAGCCGATCCTGTATCTTTGGTAGTAATTTTTACTTTCAAAGATAGGGAAAAAGCAGTTACTTGTTTAAAATTTTCGGCTGATTCTGAAAATTTAATAGTTGCTCACGATAAGAATTCATGTGAAATATTAGTTTATGATTGCCGAAATCATTTTAAATAAATTTCTAGACTTAGAGGTAGTGGACATCCAGTGACTCATATAGACTTTGCAAAGGATTCAAAAAGGAAAATTATATAATGCAATACAAGTGGAGGTGAAATAATCTTCTATGATATTCTAGAAGAAAATAAATAAGGTAAAAAGGGAAAATAAATTACCGATCTTAAAATTATTAAAGACATTAAATGGGAAACTCATTCCTGTATTTTCTAATTTAATCTTAAAGGTATTTGGCCTAATTCTTTTAATGGAACTGAAATTAAATCATCAAATTGTTCCGATAAATATAATGTAGTGGCTGTAGGAGATACCTTTGGCAGAATTAAATTACTTAAATTTCCCAGTTAGAATGAAAATTAACCTTTTCTGAAGTATTTAGGACATTCTTCCTAAATTAACAAACTTGCCTTTGCATTTGATGATTAATTTTTGGTTTCTATTGGAGGATAAGATAAATGCATTATGTAATGGAAAATAATTTAAGAAAAAGAAATTGATAACTAAAAATTTATTTATAAAAGTTTTAAAAATAATGAAAATTAATTATAATTAAAAGAAAATGAAAATACAAATAAAGAAGATAATAAAGCAATTACAAAATAATAATATGTTAGTCAAGTTTTAAATAGTGCCCCTTCTTCGTATTAACCTTAAGATGATTTGAAGTACAACTAAGTCCCATAGCAATAACTTTAGTTGTAGTAAATAAAAGGTTTTTCATGCAATTACAAAGGAAATTATTTAATAAATATGTGCAAGTATATAAATAATAATTAATATATATTCAATGCTTCTAAAATTGTAGTTGTGGCTGAAAAAAATCGTAATTAATCCTTCTTTATGAATCACAATGAATAAATTCTTTCTATTGCAATAAACCCTATTAATAAAAATATAATTGCTACAGGACAAAAAAAAACTAAATTATCAAATTATACATAATATTAAGAAAATTTATAAGAACCACATATATCTTATAATAAAACTTCTAATGAAAATATTACTTAAAGTATTTACGTTTGGGATGCTTAAACTAAAAAAGTAATATATATATATATATATATATATTTATATAATAAAAAATTTAAAATTATTTTTTTTTTTAAATAGGTTTTAGCGCATATTAATGATTTTCATATTAATTCAATTAGTTATTTAGAATTTTCTCCTGATGGATAATATTTACTTTCTATAGGAGAAGATAGTAGTCATACACTTGTATTATATAATTGGACCTAATGTTCAATAATTTTGAATTAATAAATAGATTAATAATAAATTAACGCATTAGCTTGGAAAAATAATAATTAGTTTATAATATGTGGATCAAACTTTATAAAATTTTGGGAAATTATAGGAAATAATCTAACTTGTAAATTATTTATTTAAAACTAAAAATTAAAAATATAAATATAGTTAAAATACCAAATAGTTTTTAATAACTATCAAGTATTATTTATGCTTAAAATGGAATTTGTGTAAGTGGAGGTTTAAATGGTTAAATTTTTGTTTGGGAAAATGATAATATAATTATTTAGGAGTTGGTAGCACATTAAAATTAAGTAATTTCTTTATTAAGCTTTTAAGAAGGTATTTTATTAATAAAAAATATTATTTTTTTTTTAAAAAAAAAAACTTATAATTTATTTTTTTAAAACAACTTATAAATCAATTCTTTTTAGAACAAAAAAACAATATTTTTTTTTAAAAAAAAAAACTTATAATATTTAATAAAAGAAAACTCTTAAAGACATGTTTTATATTCAGGAAGCTTAGACGGAAAAATAATAAAATGGGTTTTTAAATAAAATAAACTTGAATAAGAGTCTGTAATATTGTAATTATAAAATTAATTTTCCTAAGAAATTGGAATAATATCATTATCAGTAAGCGATAACTTAAATTAATTATTAATTGGTTCAACAAATTCTGAAATATATGAATGGGAAATAAATAACTCGAGTTTAAAAAAAATCACAGAAGGTCATTTTGGAGGCGAACTTTGGGGTTGCGCAGTTCATCCTTTTAAATAAATATTCGCTACTTGTGGAGGGGATAAAACTTTAAGAGTCTGGGATATAGAAAATCAAAGTATTATTAATACTACTCATTTATAGGAAGATTGTAGAGCGATTGATTGGGCTTCAAAAACAGGAAGTTTTATAGTTATTGGGGATATTAAAGGAATGATAAGATTATATAATACATAAAATTTTTAAGAGGAGGATTTTAAGGGTTTTTTTTATTTTTTTAATATTTTTTTTTATTTCTTTAAATTAGAAACTAAGAATTATAAACACACAATTAATATTTAAATAAAAAAACTACTTCACTGGATTTAAGACATAAAAATTTCAGCAGATGAAAAAATGGTAACTTTTGGGGTACACGGAATAAATTCTTCTATAGAAATTTTTGAAATTTAAAACATGAAATTTACTTAAAATATAAATTCGATTAATATATGTAAAAAAAAAAAAACACACACACAAATTTTTTTATTTAAAAAATAAATTAAATATAGAAAAAGAATTATCAGGCTCAATTATTCATTTAGACTGGTCTTGTAATTCTTAAATATTAGCTGTAAATACAGATAATTTTGAATTAAAATACATTAATTTGCATAGTAAAAATTCAGTTCCTCCAAATTAAATAAAAGAGGAAAAATGGCATACATGGACTTGTATATATGGTTGGTTTTCTAAAGGAATATTCAAATATAGAGATGGAAAAGATGTAGATTCATGCATTAGATCTTATAATAGTAAAGTTTTAGTAACAGGTGATGATTTTGGGAATATAAATTTATATAATTATCCAACTTGTGTACCCAAATAAATCCATCATACATATAGAGCCCATTCTTCCAAAATAACAAGGGTTAGATTTACACCAGAAGATAAATATTTAATATCTATAGGAGGAGAAGACTAATCAATAATGGTATGGAAAACGGTTAATATTTAAGAAGATATTACAGATTAGAAACAAGATCTTGAACTAAATTCCTATTTAGAAGAAATTGGAATTATTTAGTTTTCAGAAAATCAAAAAGCTTATAAATATTAAAAAAAAAATGCCAAAAATGTTGATTAAAATTATGATCTAAGGTAAAATATGTATACATATATATATATATATTTATAAAAAAAAAAAAAGTTAATAAAAACCTTGGATGGAATAAATAAAAGAACCTTCAAATTATTACAAAGATGCTTTAAATCAATATAAAGCTCCTCCTATATAATTATAATTAGAATACGTTTACGGATATAGATCATATGATTGTCGAAATAATATTTTTTATTTATAAAGCGGACACATTCTTTACCATGCTGCATGCCTAGCTATTGTACTTGATAAAGAAAATAATACTCAATAATATTTTGATTTACATTAAAATTATATATCCGCAATTTGTTTACATCCTGATAAAATAAAAGTTGCGACAGGAGAATAAAGCCAAAAACCTTCAATTTATGTTTGGGATAGTTTCACAATGTAAGAATTATGCCATTTTAAAGGAAGTTTAAGTAAAGGAATTAGCTGTTTGTAATTTTCCCCTTCTGGAGAAAAGCTAGTAGCTGGATCTATTAGTAATGATAATTAAATTGCTGTTTTTGACATTTAAACTAAATCTAAATTTGGAGGGTAATTACTTTTTACATAAAAAAGTGGATTAAATTTAAATATTGGAGTTTAATGGAGAAACGAATATGTAATATTTATATATTATTTAAATAATTTACATTTTTTTTTTAATATCAAAAAAAATAAAAAGGAATTTGGTATTATAGGTAATAAAGGTTTAAAAATATGGAATATTTATGAAAGTGGACTATTTTAATATAATTGTTAAAATTAAAACCCAAAAATATTAATCTCTGTTTGTATTTTTAAGGAAAATAATTATGTTTGTGGAGCTATTGATGGGTCAATATAAGTTTATAATAAAAAAAACATGATTTATTCTGAAAATATTCATTCTAAATAAATTGATTGTCTAACTCCTAAAGGAAGCATGTATTTTTTATTAAAATAAATATAAATATCTATTTATTTAAATAATAAAAAAAGATTAATTACAGGATCTAAAGATTAAAGTATTGCTTTTCTCGACATAAATTATGCAATAATAATAAGAGTGGATTTATAAACAATATTTATAGGCTATTTAGAATCTGTTTGTAGTGAAATAAGGGCCATAAGTGTTTCAAATGATGAAATGCACATTTTAATAGGCACGATAGGTTCTGAAATATATGAAATACAATTAAATGATGAAAAAATAACTAAAAACACTAAATTTTCGAATACAAAATTAATTCTCCAAAGCCATTATTGTCCAAATAAACGAGAAATAAACGAAGTAAAAGGTCTAAGTATATTTTCAACTAATTAAGATTTATTTATAACATGTGCAGATGATGGTACAATAAGAACATGGTCATGTAGTTAAAGAAAATAAGAAAAATGTTTAAAAACAACAAATGACAATAATATAGAATTTAAAGTTAATGAATAACAAAATGAAATTTCAGATTCTTCTAAAGTAACAATAATATATCACTCATTATTCGAAAAAAAAAAATATAAAATATTTTATAAAATTAGGGAACTTGTATATATGTTTCTCCAGACGGAAATTATATAGCCTAAGGTTTTTAAGATGGATCAATAAAACTATATGATAAAAATTTTAATTTGTAATAATAAACAAGAAATGCAAGAGAATATATATCAGATATAAAAATCTCGCCTGATAATAAACTCATAGCCGCAGGTTCTTATGATAGTTAAATTTATATATATGAAATTCCTACTTTGAAATTAGTTATGCGTCCATTAAGAAAGCATACAGGAAGAGTTACTCATTTAGATTTTTCTTAAGATGGAAATTCTTTACATTCGAATTGTTCTGCTTATGAACTCTAACATTGGTCGCTTATTTAGCATACTTCTATTAATAATGGAGGTATTTTTTTTAAAGATGAATTCTGGCATACATGGACTACTCCTTTAGGATGGCCAGTATTTTTTTTTATTTTATTTTATTTTAAAAAAATTATTTTCAAAGAGTTAAGGTATAAAGAATGAATAAATTAATAATGAAGTTTATTGTGTTGATAGAAGTAACTTTACTTATTCAAAAACTTAAAATGATAAAGATAGTTATTATTTACTTGCTAGTGGAGATGATAAAGGAAAAGTTAAAGTCTTCAGATATCCTTGTGTGAAAAAAGGATCAAATGCAGTAGAAGGTAAAGGACATTCTAGAAATGTTTAAAAAGTTAAATTTTTACCAAATGATGAATATTTGATTAGCTGTGGTAGTGATGGATGTGTTTTTTAATGGAAAATTAATAAGATAAAATGATTTTTTATTTTCTTTTTTTTATATATATATATGCATAAAAGCTTAATTTAAAACATTGATTTTTTTTCGTTTTATTAAAAATATAAGATAAATAATTAATTTAAAAAAAAATTAATTAAAATAAGTATAAAAATATATATTTTTATTTTTTCTCAAAATAAATATTATAATTATGTTTATAGCTATATAGGTAACATATAGCAATATATAAAGACTATTAATTTAATTTTTTATAATTATAATTAAATTTTATCTAATATTATATTATTTTAAAGAGCTTAATATAAATATAAATATAATTAAATAATTTTATTTTTAAATTTTTGAAATTTTATATCTTAATTTTTATTTCTTTTAAATATTTAATAAAGATATTTTATCAGATATAATTTTAAAATAAAATATTATATATTTCTAATAATATTTATTTTTTATATTTTTAATTTTAGTAATTTTTTAATATAATTTTTATTTTAAATTTTAATGAAAAGTAATTTATTTTTATTTATTATATCTTTTAAGATATTTTTTATAATTTAGTCTTGTACTTTTTTTTTTTAGATATTTATTTTATTTATAATATAACATTTTTTTTATTTTTATTTTTTATTGTATATAATATAATTTTGACATTTGATCTTTTTTTTATTAAGTATTATATATTTGACTCATATTATTTTATTATTAATTTTTTTTGGATTAAATTTAATAAATTAATTAATATTTTAATATTTAAAAAAATATATTTATTTAAATTATATATTATGATAATTTAATAAATAATTAAATATATTTTTTAATAATTATTTTTATAAATTTATAAATTTTTATTTTTCACTAAAAAATTTTTTATTAATAAATACATTCATATTAACAATTTATTAAATATAAAAAAAAATTTAATATTTTAATATATTTAATAAAAATTATTATTAAATCAATTTTTTATTTATTATTTTAATAAATCCTCAACTTATTTAGCTTTGTTAACATAAAGTAAAGCTTCTATATCATCACCTTTTTCATTCCACATAACTGCCATTAAATTATAATTAATAATTTTTTAATCAGACGGATTTTTTTCAATAGATTCCCTAATTTAATTTGAATCAAAAAGGAAATCAATGGCCAAATCCAAATTTCCCAAACCGTAGTAAGCTTTTGATACATATTCAAAAGAAAGCATTAAATAGTATTAATCATTAAATTATTTAAACAAATCCACACACTTTAAAGCCTATATAAGCCCTTTATCAAATTTTTCTAAATCTAAATAAATTTAAGTTAAATTAAGAAGATTTTAAGCAAAATTATGTGTATTTTCTTTACAAAAATTCATACTTTTTTTCGCATTTTTAAGAGCTTTTTTCATATTATTTTCCATTTAATAAATTAAGGATATATTTCCATATACAATTGATAAATTCTCACTTTAATTTTTTAATTTCTTAAACATCTTTTTTGCTTCTTTTGCGTATTTCTTAGCCTCTTCATTTTTTGTAAATCCCTATATATATTAGCTATATTCATCTTATTTTTAGCAATATTTAATGCACTAATATTTAATTTTTTGTTTATTTTTAAAGATTATAATATATGTTCGAGGCTTTTATTTAGTTTTTCCTCATTTTATTAATATACTGTGCTTAAATTATTGTGTATTTATGTCTTTTAAAATTTCACTTGTTTAAGACTTAATGTATTGTAATCTTTGTATTTCCTATAAATATATTTTTTTAGCTTCCTTTTACTTGTTTTGATCTTAGAATATATTGGCTATTGAAAAATTTATTAATGATGTGTATATTCCTATTCTTATTTATTGTTTTAAAATAATTAAGGTAACATACTTTAAGCTTTATGAAGATTTTTTAATGAAATTTCTTATTAACCTAAAATATTCAAAACTTAACATTAATTAATTAAAGAAATAAAAACAAAAAAAGTTAAATTTTTATCTTGTTCATACATTTTATCAGTTATTTAATTATATATTTGATTTGCTTTTTCATACTCTTACATGCTTATATATTTTTATATTAATATTTACTCTTTTAAATAATTTATAAATAAAAATTTTGAAACAAATTCTTATTAAAAAGCTTTCAAATTTTCTTCGTTAAGATTTTCTTAGAAAATAATATTTGTTAACTTTTAAATTTCAGGAGATAAATAAGTATGATTTTAAGCTTCTTCTTTTATGCTATTTGGTATTTCTTCAGATTTTTATATAATAAAAAACAATTTGATTTCTTAAATATAGTTTTCTATATCATATTCGTCCAAATTTGGATTTTCTTGAAAATTTTTGATTAAAAAATTTACATTAATTTAATTATAATAATTTTATATTTATTTAATTTCATAAAATGTTATGAATATTGGTGAAAATTCTTCAGTTTATTGATCAATTTAAATTTAATATTCACAAATATTAATACTTTAACTTTTCAAATTTAATTTTAACATTCTGAATTTTATTATTTTGGATTTTTTTTCAATAAATAAAAAAGTTATAATGATTTTTATTTAAAATATAAGTATTTTTTAAAATAGATTTTTATTTATAATTATATAACATTATATAAACCATATTTAATCTATTTTTATTAAAAATTAATTTCAATTTTATTTTTTTTAAATAAATAAAAAGTGATATTAATTTTTTATTTATAAGTTTTTATATCGTAGTTTTAAAAAATATTAAAAAAGAAATAAAAATAAATTTATAAAATTGAAGAAAAATTTTTTATCTAATATAAAAATTATTATTCACAGTTGATATAACAAATTTTATATTATATAAAATTATAAAAATAAAAATATTATTTTATTATATATAATTGATATTAATAAATAAGTATAATAATTGAATGATATAACTATCATAGGTATACAAAAAATAAAAAAACTAATAGTCATATTAATTTAAAACATTAAAAAAAGAAAAGAACTTCTCCCGAAAAAAATGAAAATATAAATATATTATAAAGATATCATATAACTAAAAAATAGTAAAAAATAATTTAGCAATAATTGCCAGAAAAAAAAGATATAAATATAATAAAAAACAAAAATTTATACAATAAAATTTATCAAATCGAAATAGAAAAATTATAAAAAGAAGAAAAAGAAAAATCACCAAATTACAAGATATCAAGAAAAAAGAGTATATTATAGCAACTAGAAGAATAAATAGATTCTGATGATTACATGATAGAAATAAAAAAATCTTAATAAAATTATAGAGAAAATAACAGATAGATAAATAAATAAGAATTTTAAAGATAACAAAGTAAAAATAATATAATAAATTATAGTAATAATAATAATAATAATAATAATAATAATAATAATAATAATAATATTATAAAAAATTTTTCTAATTATGAGTAATTAGAAAATCTATATTATAAATATAACAAAGATTTTTTATAAAATAATGCATTTAAATAAATTAATTTTTTTAAATAAAACAATCCTGAAAGTAAATTATAACAGATTATATAAAATAGAAGAAAATTTGAGAATAAAATATATAATGAATTATAAGATAGGAAAAATTCTTTTCTTAAATTTGGTTTTAAAAGTTTTGAGAAAAATGATAATTTGTATTTAAAACCTTTTGTAAATTAATTATCTTAATAAAATGAAAATAATGGTTCCATGTTTGTAGCTGATTTATGGTCTGATAAAAATATTTTGAAATTTTTGGGAAAATGTAAACTTATTAGGGACAAAAATATGCTCTTAAATCTAGCTAATAGATAATACCTTAAAGATAAAGTAAATAAGTTTAAAAAAAATTTAAACTATTAATAAAAAATCTTAAATAGAAAAGAAGAAATAAAACTTATTGATAATATATATTTAAATGAAAAAAAATAAATTTAGCAACTAAAAAATTAATAAGACCTTTCTGTTTTAGAAAACAGTTTTTCTATTCCATCTTATAAAAAAATTGATAGCAAATAATTAAATATAGACTAGTTTAAAATTAAATAATAGTTTTTTTCTAAATCTTAATTCTAAAAATATAAATAATAGTAATGTTTTTCGAGTAATAACTAAGATATTGATAGTTACGATAATTTTTTTAATCTTCATATTAATAGTCTTAATAAAAAAGATATTATGTATAATATATGTATTATTTTTTTATATTAATAATATTATAATTTATTATTTATTTATTTATTATTTTCTAATAATATTTTAATATTATAGAAATTAAAACGGTAAATCATCTAATTTAACAGAAAGATCAGATCTTATTAATAATTGGTTATATGATATTGATTAGATTGCTGAAGATAATGATTAGATATATAGCGATTTAAATTAAAAAATTGATAGAATGTAGAATATTATAATTACTAAATATTAAAATAAAAATAAATTGAATTAACTTTGATCTTATATAATTTACATTTTTTTATAAATCAAATTTTTAAATAAAAAGAAATAACTTAAACATCAAATAATATATACACATTATGTGAAAAAATTGATTAATTTTAGATATAAAAAAAAAGAATATAATTTTTTTTATATTTTATATAAAAGTTTAAATCTAAGCTTCAAGTAATTATAATTAATAAAAAAACTATAACTTTATTTATTATTTTTATTGAATAAATAAATATCTTTTATATAAAAAAATAAAATTAAAATACATCCTCACATTTTTAAAAATTTTATAAAAAAAAATGAAAAAAATTACATTTATAAATATTTTTAAGTATTCCTTAATCAAAAGAATACCAAATTATAATGACATATTATTTACAAACATGGATAACTTTGAAAAAATAGAAGGACTAATTTATTTTCCAGAATACATAACAAAAAAAGAAGAACAAAAATTATTATAAATAATAGATTCAAATTAATGGGTATAAAGTATAAGACGTAAATAACAACATTATGGAGTTACATATTATCATACAAAACATGATTTAAGCGAAATTCAGCCTCCAAATTAAACTGAGAGTTAATTAAATCTATAAAACTTTGATTGGATAATATAAAGACTTATAAATGATGATATATTTTAATAATAAAATCCTCCAAATTAATGTTTAGTCAATTAGTATGATTAAAAGGATAAGTTAGGATTCCATATTGAAGATACTAATGCTTTTGGTTAAATTATAGTTGGATTAAGTATATGTAATCCTAGTTATTTATCTTTAAGAAATTTTAAAAATAAATTAATTTCTAGAAAAATCTATTTAGAGCCTAGAAGTGTCTATGTTCTTACCAAAGAAGCTAGATATGAATGGGAACATGGAGTTTCTAAAAATAAACAATTAATTAATCCTAAAAATTAAGAAAAGTTTGAAAAAAACAATAATTATAGAAGGCTAAGTTTAACTTTTAGGCATGTTTTATAAGATGGTACTAAAAAATAGAAAATGGAGAATTGCCCAATTTTTTAAGGAAAAATTATTAATAGGAAAGGTTAATAAATAATGAATAAATTTTTTAAAATACTACTTACTTATCATAATTTAAATTGATTTTGTTCAAATCTTAATTAATATTTTGATTTTTTAAACAATATTTTGGATATTGATATTGAATAACAAAAAAAATATAAATAAAATAAAAAATTTAAAAATCGAGAAGAATTTTTTAAATTTTTGGATAATTTTTTTTAAATTTTCAATAATATATTAATTTTCATCAATATTAAATATTTTTATTAACAATTTTTATTTAATGTTTTTTATTATTATAATGGATTATCTTAAAATTAGTTTTTTTTTTAATTTCTATTTTTATTAATAGCATCGTTATAATATTTCTTGCTAGTTTTGACGTTCAAATTTTAAATATTGCTTAAAAAAAATTATTTTATTTATTTTTTTATTAAAATAAAATAAAATAAATAAATAAAACTTCTATTATGAAATTAATAAATTTTTAATAATAAATAATAAGAATTTTTTTTTTGAATATAATAATGTGTTAATAATATTTTTATTATAAATTTAAAAAAATCATTCAATATTAATAAATAAAATACAAAACTTCATAAACATATAAAAAATAAAATTCTTCTAAAAAAAATTTTCAATTCTTAAAAATAAAAAAATAACAAAAAAAATAATAAATTAATAACAAAATAAAATTAAAAAAAAATATACAAAACAAAAAATGCTTTAGTATCCCTAAACACCTTAAACCCAATAAATAAAGCCATGTCAAGTTAGTTAAAGTAGCAGACCTTTATAAACAAGACAAAGCAATGTAATACAAGACACCCGAAAAGAAATAAACATAGAAGAAGAACAAAGAAGAATATTATAAGAACGAGAATAAATAATATCTTAATTTTCCCAACAATTACGAGATCCGAGAACAGGTGCATTAAAACCCGGAATCTAATAAAAAAATTACGATGATGGTTCTAGATTTGAAGGATCTTTAAGAGGAGATATAAGATAAGGAGCAGGAATATATTTTTACCCAAATGCGGATGTATATGTTGGTGAATGGTAAAATGACTTATTTCATGGAGAAGGTTGTTATATATTTTAATCAGGCGAAAGATATTAAGGATAACTTGTACAAGGAAGAAAAGAAGGATAGGGAATGTACATATATACAAATGGTAATAGATATGAAGGGTCATGGTTAAATGATAAAAAACATGGTTATGGAGTATATCATTACGTATCATTAGGAGAAAGATACGAAGGTTTAATATAAATATAAATAAATGCATTTTAAAAAAATAAAATAACATATAAACAAAAGGTGAATGGGAAAACGGAGAAAAATAAGGAGAAGGAATATATTACTTCGCATATGGAGATAGATATGAAGGATAATGGCATAAAAATATGAAAAATGGAAAGGGAGCTCTCTTCTATGCTTCAGGAGCTGAATATGATGGCGAATGGATAAATGATAAAGTACATGGATACGGAGTTATGGTTTGCTAAAATAGAGATAGATATGAAGGTGAATTTTTCGAAGGTTAAAAATGTGGAAATGGTGTTTACATTCATGTTGATGGATCTAGATATGAAGGTGAATGGGCAAGTGATGATAAAAACGGTCAAGGTGTTTTATAATTCTCTAACGGAGATATTTATTAAGGATCCTTTGTGGACGGAGAAAGAAATGGACCTGGTATTTATTAATATGCAAACGGTGATATTTATGATGGTAATTTGTAAAAAAAAAAATTTATATATATAATTTTCTAAAATCTTATTTTAACTTTAACTTTTCTTTAAAAAAAATAGGTGAATGGAAAGGTGATAAAAAAGAAGGATTAGGTACACTAGAAATGGCTACCTAGGATAGGTATGATGGCGAATGGTAATACTTTTTTAGTAATCATTCATATATAAATATTTTAAAAAAGGCTTAATGGAAGAAAAAATGGCACTGGTACTTATACTTTTGCTAACGGAGATTCTTATGAAGGATATTTTGTAAATGGATTAAGATAAGGAAAAGGTATTTATACATGGTCTGATAAATCTTATTATAAAGGAGATTGGGAATAGGTTTTTTTTAAAAAGATTATAAAATATTTTATTTTAAATATTTATTATTTATATAGGATAGAATGAATGGTAGAGGTATATATTGTAGTTCTGATGGAAAGTAAGTGGAAGGATATTTCGAAAATGATAACTTTATAAGACCTATTTGAAAATAAAATAAAGTTCAATAAATTTATATAAATATTAAAGATTATATATATAAATCATTTTTATATTATATATAAAAAAAAAAAAAATTAAATAATGCTTTTTTTTAAAAAAAATTTAAAATATAAATAAAAAAAATATAAAATATTTTATATAAATAATATTTTGGTTTCATAAAACATAAATAAATGTAAAGCATCGATGGTTTAATGGTAGAATAGAGCGTTGCCATCGCTTTGACCCGGGTTCGATTCCCGGTCGATGCATTTTTTTTCATGCTATTTTTTTTTAAAAATATTACAATTTTTAATAAATTATTAAAAATAAAAGCATAAATATTATTTATATTTAATTTTTTAAATATAAAATAATATTTTACATTTTTCAATTTAAACAAAAAAAAAATCAAATTTAATCATTATTATAATGGGATATTTCAATTCTTTTTTAATTAATTGTTTTATCTTTGTTAATATCTTAATTATTTACAATTTTTTTATTAGAATAAATTTAAAACTATTTAAATAATTGATCATTTTCATGAAATTCTTATTTAATATCAATATTAAAATTGTTTTTTTATAGAAGCATATTTTAAGGAGAAAGTATTTCATTATAGGCTTAAAAAGGTTTATTTTAAATTTAGTTAGTTTGAAATTAATTAATTTTATATTATTATTAAAGTCCATTTATTATTAAATTGTTTCCATCTTCATAATCTGTTTGATTTAATAACATATCATAAACCATTTGCTTAAATAATTTATAAGCTTCAAAAACAAAATAAATACTAAATGAATAATATCCAAGTTAAAAAATTAAAAAATATAATTTTATATAATATCAATATTTTTCTAAATCGAATTCCCAGTATAATAAATATTATGCCTAAACTATTAAATGAACAGAATATTATATATATAACACAATTGCAATAATTTAACTATGAAAATGATAAATAAATATTATTAAACTGCAAAATTCACTCAAAAATAACCAAAATGATACATATATTTTGTAAATGTTAATATTAATTAAAATATCCATATAAAATATAATGTTCTCCTAATAATTTCTATTTTATCTCTATTTGGTGTTAATTCATTACTTAATTAAGCTTCTGGACATAATATCATTTTAATATTTAAAGAATATTTTTAATTAAAATAAATATTAAAACTAAATAATAATTTTCTGTATATATTTGATATAAATATATAAAGTATTATATAAAATTAAATATCATATTTACATTATGTTTTATTTTTATTTTCTATATTTTTTTAAAAAAAACTTAATCTACATAAAAAAAGGTGTGAAAAATGTAAAACTTTTTTTTATTGAGTTTAAAAAAAATACAGAAAAATTAAAAAAAAATATTCTAAAATTAAATTTTTTAATTTATATATAATAATATATCCTAATTAACATATAAAAATTTATATAAATAATTTTTAGTGTTAAACAATAATTTATTATTTTATTAATTTTAAATAATTTTTATATATTATTCCATTAAAATAATAATACCAAATATAAAATATAAATTATATATTATAAATTTATCAATATTTATAAAATTTTAAAAAATAAATAGGTAAATTTAATTAAAATATAAATACTTTTAATTTAATTAATAATATTTTTATTATTTATTTAGTAAAAACTATTATATTCAATATTTATCTTCCAATATCATTTATTCATTAGAATCATTGCTAAAAATATTTTATTTTTTATTATTTTTATTATCTAATTAGTTCTTATATTCATTATTATTATAATTAAATGTAATTTGTTAATTACTATTTTCTTATTGCAAATTAAATTAGTTAATATTTATTTGATTATCATTAATTAAAGAATTGTTTTCATTTAGATAATTTTTACTTTATTTAAAATTATTTGGTGAATTAAATATAAAAAATTATTTATAATCTTAAATAAAATAATTATTTTATTAATCAAAATAAATTAAATTATCATCATTCAAATTATTTAGTTTATTTACTAGATTAAATTAATTTTATTCAAATATTTATTAATTATGGTTAATATTAAATAAAAAATTTTAACTATTGTCTTCATTTTATTATTCATCAATATATATCTTATTTTTAATTATTTTATCTTTTTAATTTTAGTTATCTTGTTTTATATTATATGCATTTTAAATACTTTTTTTTCTTTAATATAATTCTTTTATTATTTAAAGTTTGCATTACTTGAGTATATTTTCAATTTTATTTATTTAATTTTACATATATGCGATAGTTTTTAATTTCCCTTCATAATTTAAATCTTAAGAACATATTTATTAATAATTTTTTTCATTATCAAGTAAAACATATTCTTCTTCTTAAAATTAGTTTAAATTTTATTTTTCAAAATCTAAATTAAATTACCCATCTTATTTTATTATATTTTTCAAATTATTTTCATTTAAATATATTTAATCTTATTTTTTTTATAATCTCAATTATTCTTCTTAATTTTCTTATAATCTATTATTTTTCACATTATTTTGCTTTTATTATTTGCCTATTTTTTTTTTATTCATTAATCTCAATTTTAAATAATATCTGTTTCTTATCATTGCTTCTGTTCTTCCTTTTAATTTTTAAGATATTTCCGACCATATTTTTCCAAATTTTGTAACATAAGACATTATTATTTCATCTTCTTCTTATGAAAATTTTATTCGTTTTTATACTTCTTGACTACTACTTTTATTTAATTAAAATCTTCTTTAGTAAATTGAACTGTCAATTTCTACACTATTATTATGCTTTAATGCTATTTATTATGATTTTTATTTATTTATTTATTATTTTTCAAATATAGTTTTTTAGATTGACTAAGTATCCAATATTTTTAATTAAATTGAATTTTTGTTAATATCTATTTTTATTAGAAAATAAAAGTAATATATATTTAATCATATTATTTATATTATTTTTTATTTAAAATTAAACATAAGATATTTATCTGCTTTAATAAGTTAAATGAAATCTTTATAAACTTAAAAGATTTAAAATTTGCAGTTAATATGAAAATTATTATATTTTTATATTTAAAAGAAAATATTATTTATATAAAATAATAAATCTTTTGTTAATATTTAATTTAAATTCATCTAAGTTTAAATAATATTTTTTTGTTTTTTACTAAATTACCAGTTTATAATTAAGTATTAAGAATTTCTTATTATAATTATTGCTCATAAGAAATAGTAATGTTTTTTTCTTTCATTTAAATATTAAAAATAGTATTGGTATAATTATTTATACAAAAATATATAATATTTTAAATTAAAATATTATATTTAAAAAATTATAAATTTAGATTTATATACATTTTTTATTTAAATATTATATTGACTATTATTATAATTGATGATTTCGTTAATTTTGTCTATTATATTATAATTATACTATGTTTTTTTATTTTTAAATATAATTTTAAACATATAAAAATTTATTTCAAATTACATAAAACTATAAATGTATTAAAAAATAGATATGGTTTATAAATATTAAACTTTAAGAATTATTAGACTTTAATTTTATCTTTATTTAATATATGTCTAATTTTCTTTAGTTTTAATTTAATTAATAAAACAAAGTAAAAATAATTGCATAAGTATATAAATAATATAAATGAATAGAAATATGTTAATTTTATAATTAATAATTATTGATTTTTAATATTTTATTTTTATATCGTTTATTTTTTAATTATTTTAAATTAAGAGTAATTTACATTTTATTTTCAAGTAAACTATCAAATATTTTTTAATTTTGTATTTTTTTGCCTTAATATGAGATTGATTTTATAAATATTATTTAAATAATAACTATATATAATTACAAATACTTTAAAAATATTAAATTTCTGTAATTTAATAATTTAAATAATTTAAAGATATAACAGCTAACACTCATTTATAAAATTATTCTCTAAATCAATTTTTAGACACAAAAATTGTTTTTTTTGATATATTTTTTAAATAAAATTCATTTTTTAGGTCTTTTTATCCTTGAAATCTTTTTAGAAAATTTATTTATTTTTTTCTTTAATTTTTCTATTTAAATATCTGATTTTTTAAACAAGAAAAATGATCTTAAAAAAGAAATATTTAATTTAAATATAAAATTTTTGAAAAGTTATTCCAAAATTATATTTAAAATATCAAAAAATAAATATAATTTGAATTTAATATAATATAAATTTTTAATAACAAAAGTATTGAAAATTTTATCTAAAATAATAAATTTAAGAAATAATATAATAAATTTCCAAATTAGTAAGTTATATAATAATTATAATACTTTTTATATAAAGATTTAGATATAAGATTTTCGTATTATCTTAAATACAGAATTTCCTTCTTTATTTAAATTCTTGACTAAATAGAGATCTTAATATAAATTTTTTAAATTTTTATGTCTTAATTAAAATATGAATATAATTAATGAAGATATATAGAAAACTAATAGCACTTTCATTTATTATTTAATGAATGAAAATTAATATATTATAAATAAATTTAAATAATTTAAATTAAATATGAGTAAATAATATTTAAAATTTTATATATTTACAATAAATTTAATAAAAAATTTATATAATAATGATAATAATATAACACATACTTTTAATATAAAATTACTTTGAAAATATATAGATAATATTTTTATGAGAATATAAACTATATTTAAATAAAAATATAAATAAATTTATAAAATTTAAAATAAAATTATAATAATTAAATAAATAATTTTTATAATCATTTATTTAATTTTTTTTTATGTAATATAAATAAAGATAATGTTTTTTTAAAAAAAATTAAATATTTTATTTAAAATTTTTTAAAAAAAATCAAAAAAAATAATACAATTTTATTTTTAAAAAATGGATAACGAATATTTATAAACAAATAATTTAGTTTAATTAAAAATAGTTTACTAAGGAAATTATAAATTTATTATTACTCCGTAAACATATTGTTAATTAAAAGATCAAATACTTTAAAATTTTACAGAGTTAGATTAATACTCAATTTAAT